TCCCCTTTTAACATTTACATGAGACTAATCACTTCGAACTCGGACATGACCGTGAAGATGCACTGTCTTAACCAGTATGTTCTTTGGTAATCTGTATCTGTAGAAGAAACTTTAATATAATTCACCTAATTTTAAAGATTGAGTTAGCTATTAAATTAGGTATATTATTTAGGATTAAAATACTTTCAGAGTATAAAGTAATTCCATCCTAACTAATATACCACATTTCAGAGGACAGCATGTTGTATGAATACACTAATCCAATTAGGATGGCAGAAGAAAGGGACAGATGTAATTCAAAACTACATTGATCATGTTTGAACCTAACTACCTCCCCTAGTCAGTTGTCTTCTGCAAACTCCAAACCTGGTAAACCATTGAGTTGTATTCTAGCCTTTCTCAGTCATTTGCTCAGGAAAGAAATTGAAGTTGTAAACCACATGTGGGTAAAAAAGTTTTTATTTCATTTAAAAAAGGAAAAGAAAAACTCACTATGAAAGTCTGGCAGCTGAAAGTCCACTGAACACAACTGATCAGCTGCAGCATTCAAGTCATGCCCACTGCTGTCTGCCTGGCCAATGGGAAACAGAATATTGTTGCAATGAACCTTTGCCAGTACTATAATGGTTTGAGTGCTTATGGGGAGCCAAACAGAAATAGAAGAAACGGGTGGAGATTATTTATTCTACACCCTGGAATCTTGTATTTATATCAATCGAGCTGTGGTTTGTGCATGTATTAATAAACATAGGAATATTCAGAAAAAGAATATGAAAAGAAAGAGTTACAAATCTCTGTTTCTCTTACATGTGTCTTCACTATCTCTGGCAGTTTGGAATTTCAGATTACAGCTTTGTTTTATGTATTATATGAAAGAAGGGAGAAATCTCTCTTCAGAAATGTTGTGAAATAACACACAATATGTAGCTTGAATTCCATTTGCACCTCTGAGGAACAGAACAGAGTTCTGTATGTATGGTACTATTAAGCTGAGACTTTGGGCAGATATTCAGGAGTCCATTAATCAGAATGATCAAGAAGTCCCCAAAATACAGCACAGTTCACTAATCACACTCGCTCAAGTGGATTTTCTCACTGAATCCATGTATATTGTAAATGGTTCTGAGGATAATTTTTGGCAGTGGTTTGTGATTCAAATTTGATTTGCACATCCTAAGAACAGTTCTTTACATGTGGCAATCTCTTGATGCTGAACACTATATGAGAAGATGATCCAAATAGGTGAATTTTCTCTTTAGGGTATTTATCTGCCTTAAATAACTTTGGTGGTGTATTCTTTTTTACTGTATATTTACTATGTATTCTTTTTTCCTGCTTAATAAGCCCTAGCTAAGAAAGTTTTAGGTTTTCCTACCTATAAATATCTTGCTTTATTTCTTTCCATAATTGTTTTGAAATGTATTTGTTGCATCCTGTCAGATAAAGTCCCAATCCCAATACATACTAGTGGTCTCACACTAGACCTGGGTCTTGTCTTGAGGCACTTACAACATGATAACATTTTGGAGGACATTGACATTAGTCTGTTCTCGTGGTCATATCACCCTCTAGTTGCATTTTGGCTTACTACGGTCACCCTATCTCATGGGGAGAGAGGGCCTGTTAGATTGCTAGCTCCAGGCATCTGATGAACCCAGTAAGGTTTAGAAGGAGCTTGGGGTTTTCCCCAAGGATCTGATGGGTAGTCCACCTGAGGCCTTAGTTGCAGCCTGGTTTGGGTGGGTGGCTGAGGCCTTAGACTGCATTGCAACCTCTCCTCTTATGCCAGTCCTGCTGTGAACCTTGGTTCACTGAGCACTCCAGGAGATGAAGTGATGAAGAGAAGCCTAGAACACCAATGAAAGAAGACAAAGAATGAATCCAGCTGAACATCTTAGGGATTATATCATGATCATAAAGGTGGCAATGTGATGTTATTTCTCTGTCCTTATGACATCTGCCAATAGCCACCTGTTCCCATCCCTGCTGGGGAGAGATGGATCACAGGACCATCTGCAGGGCTGCCTTGAGGAATATTCTCACTATTCCAGATATAAAGTCATTCAGATTCACTCAGAATTGGACTCTAAAACTTGTAGAGTTATCTGGAGGAAGCCTGACTTTGTAACTCCTGAGGGAATGGATAGGATGCTCTGTTAGATGGTGTTTTATTTGTTAGATCCAGGGTGCTTCTGGATATTTAAGGCCACCCATGAGGTGATTGTAGTTGGACCCATGTGGTGGTGTCTCTTTCTCTGGGGGAGGGGGTTGTTCCATCAGCTCTGACTAAGGCTATGAAGTGCTCCCTCCTTGAGAAGCCATTGTTAGATCCAACCATCCTGGATAATTTTTGTACAGTCTCCTCTCCTTTCTAGGGAGGTGATGGAGAGGGTATTTGGGCTTTAGGTTGTGGTTCAGAATGGAGACAACATTGGTCACACATGTCAATGAGCAGTGAAGCATGATGGAGGAGATGCATTTATCTGGGTGCTCTTTGATCTCTCAGCAGATTTCAATACTGTCAACCACAGTATCCTATTGGGCCAGCTTGAGGGATTGCTGTGGGGCCCATAGTTTTGTAGTGGATCTCCTCCTTTCTCTGTGGATCCAATCAGTGTTGACAGGGGTTAAGAGGTTGTATCCATGACCCCTCACTTGTTGGTTGATGGAGGGCTCTACCCTCCCCCATCCCCTTTTAACATTTACATGAGACTTCTGGGTTTGGAGTCAGATACCCAATTATACATCTTGATCCCAGGGTGACCAAGTAATGCTGTCAAGTTCTGACCCAGTGCCTGGAGGCTTTATGAGCCTGGATGGGGGTGGCAGCTATGGCCAGGAGGGCCTTTGGACAGGTTCAATTTGGATATCAGTTGTGCCCATTCAGACAGTGACTCATGCCTTGGTCACCGTTTAATTGGATTACTATAATGTGTTCTACATGAGACTGCCCTTGAAGACCACTTGGAAGCTACAACTTATCCAATGCTGTGGCGTGGGCAGTGATGGGTGTGTTGCAGAATATGCTTGCTGCTTCATGAGATGCACTGGTTGCCAGTTGTGATTCAAGTTGCTATCCATGGTATAAGGCCTGTTATTTGAGCCACCACCTATCTCCATATGTTTTTATCCAGTCTGGTCACCTACAGTGGGCAGGCTTCAGGTCCTTCTATTAAACTGTGTCATCTTACAGGACCCTAGAAGTGCCTTCTCAGTGATTGCTCCTGGCCTGTGGAATGATATCCCCCTGGAGATTCAGACTGTTCCCACCAAGCTGATCTTTTGAAAACTGCTTAAGACCTGGTTGTTCTCCCAGGCCTTAACTAGAATGGGGGTCAAGCCCCTTTGATTGGTTATTGGTCATTTGGCTTTTGAGCTTTTGGTTCTGGTTAGCTTTCTTCTTTTTCCTTTTGATATATTTTGTTTTCTTTTATTATTTATCTGTAAGCCTTGAGTCATAGAACCTTGAAATTGAAATAATAAATAAATGGGTGGAGGGGGCAAGAAAGAAAGAGAAGGGGACTACCAGAATGCCCTTTTTATATTTTTTAAATTCTTTTTTGTTTTGCTTTTTCTTACTTTTTTTTCAAAATATTTTAAGTGTGTATCTTTTCATTCATTCATTCATTCATTCATTCATTCATTCATTCATTCATTCATTTTGCTTACATATTTTACTTAACCAACCAAAAAGAAGAGATCTTGGGGAAAAAAAATTCAATAGGTTTTTGGCTTACGTCCTTTTCAACAAGAAATACTAGTTTGGAAATGACCTCATTGTATTTCTGTTATTGGAAATGCAGCAAAATTAATGCTTTATTTAAATATATAGTTCTATTTTGGTAAGAAGCAATTACTTATATTAACTCAACTTCAAGATTTAATATTTTCAGATGTTTATATTCGTTATACTCTGTCTCATGAGAGTTAAGTTCTGAACAAAGAAAATGGACAGTCAAAAAACTTACTGTTCAGCATCAGAAAGACAAACATATGGCTTTAATATTCAGTGGTTTAAAGATTTGATTAATATAGATCAGCAATGGATAAATGTAATGGCTGCATGGCTTCAATTTACTGATACATATGTATGTCTGTAAATATACATCTTGTATGTTTTTGTCTCTCTTTTTTCTTTTATAGTTTTGTGAATAAATAAATAAATTTCTCCATCTGCAATTTCTATAAGAATGTGGAAAAAAAAATCTTTCATAAATTTTTTCCTTGTTCTTATATGGGACATAAGTGGATTCTAGTGTTAAAAGTTTTGCCTTCTTTTCCTAATAGCAGAATTAAAATTCTTTGTTGCTTGTTTTTTGATTGTTCTAATGGTTCCCATGAAGATAAACTACTACTCAGTTTTTTTCTTGTTCCTTCTGCTGCTAAATATTCCTGTCCTAGCATTGTGGTGTTTTTTTTAAAGTTTATTAAAATATATATATATTTCTTTGGTTGGGTGAGTTTAATTCATTTACATTCAATAAAATCAATGTTATCGTTTCCATTTGGAATACAATTCAGTGCTGATGCTATATCCACTTTTTCATCTTCATTTCCAATATTCTTTCACATGTCAAAAAGTTTATTGTATTCTGAACAGTCAATTTTTCATGTAGGAAAGAGGCCTCTAACGTTGTCCTCATGGTTATTTTTTGTTTGTTTGTTTCTAAAAAGACTTCTAAGGCAAATGGAATTCTCCATATGTATCTGATTTGTTTGATTCTTAAAACACTTGTAAGAAATTCAAATTCTCTTCTTTTTTAAAAAATATATTATGGAGGAGATATTTTAAAATATTTGAATCATCTTTCTTTCTATAATCAAATAGGTCTCAATCTGCTGTTTTAGAATAGCATCTCTTGTTCTCTTGTGTAAAAATCTAATGAGGATATCCGGGGGCTTCCCCCCGCCCCTTTGTGCCATTGCAGAATTTATCCTGAAAAGGTACTCAATTTCTAGGAGATATCTTTCTATTTTTAGACACTTTTGCATCAAGTTGTTGAATTGTTCTTCAAGATTCACCTTTCCAAAGTCTTGGGCATGCCTCTGAATCTTACGTCTGACATCTGTTGAGTAAATTAAAAGATTGGGAGGGGGAGGACATTTTTCTATATGGAATACACAGGATGTTGAAAAAAACATTTATGCTGGTCTATAACTATAATAAAAAATTGATTTGATCAAAAAAGACTTAATATAATAGATCACTGAACCACTCTGAGGGCTTTTATTCAGAAATATACCAACAGATGCACAAAACAACTTTGTGTCGCATTCATTGATCTTACCTCTGCCTTTGATTCAATTGACAGGTCCCAATTATGGGACAAACTTGCAAGGACAGACATCAACAGGTGTCTCTTCAAAATAATAATTGAATTACCCACTGATATTATGGCCAGATAAGTAATGAATCCACAAGGATCTCTGTCAGTTCCTATTTCATTGGAGATAGCAGTCAAATCAGGCTGTTCACTTGTTCCTTTCATATTTAGCTTTTATATTGACATTGTAATGGCCTTGAAGTCACAAAACTTTTTTTCTCTTTCATTTAATGGATGGAAACATTCAATTTTAATGTACGCCAATGACATGGCTCTCATTTTCTGTACCAAGATTGGCCTTAGAAGATTATTGGCCAGTTTAACTGATTATTGTAAAAGGGAAAAGTGAGAATAAATTATGATACATCATTAAAGTACATCTTGCATTGTTGGGGCCATATAAGAAACTAGAAAGCCTTCAAGAATCCCACCTTGTAAATGTTGTTTTCTCCATTACTACAACTGGGAATCAATATCACCTATCTTATAAATGAGTTCCATACCCCCTTTGGAGGAACTTAATAAGGCTTTTTGAAAGGCATGCCGATAACGATTTTATTGCAGTATAGTCATCCAAATTTTCATCTTGTTTTCATAATTTTAAAAATAACATAGAAGGTTGTATATCCTTTCACTTGCAGATCATCCCTTTGAATATTTTGAAGGGAGATATTGTAAGTGCCCTTTTGAACAGAATCTCTGTCCCTGCAATGTCAGCCAAGTTAAAGACATTATTCACTATTGCCCTATTAACAATATGAGGAGCAAAATATTGATGGTGGGTGAATTCAATGACCTTGACTGAATGATCTTCTTGCAGATAAATTTCCAAATGTTAGTAGTCAGTTGCTACTTTTGCTGTGTTGCCATTTAAACTTGAAAAGGAATAATTAAGTTCTTAATCATAGCTCTAGTTTTCTTTTGTTTTGACCTCTTTGCACTTATGATTGATTACATGGCATCAAGTTGGTGTAACCTTTCAGTTACCAAAGAGATATGTTTTCTCCATGACAATCTGTTCCTAACCTGGTCCTTCAGGTCCTCCAATGGTGCACTCATTGCCACTGTAACTGAGTCCATCCACTTTGCTGCTGGTTATTGTCCTCTTTTCTTTCCTTCCATTATTTTCTCTTTCCTTCCACTTTGCATCTAACAATCTTTTTATTAGGTTATTGTTATTGTTATTGTTATTGTTATCCTATCCTATCCTACATTGTTATGACCTGTGGCTACACAATGAATTTATTTACCTTAAACTCATATAGTTAGTCCTTGGGATGAAGGTCTTGGGTATCATGGAGTGCTAGTTTTGGACATCTGCTTATCAGACTTTCTGGTCTGTCCATCTCAGGGTATTACCCATATCTCAGTTTACTATGTATTGTTTATATGCAGACCCCAGCCCTTAATAAGATGTTCTCTACTTCAGAATTTATAAAGAGATCATCTGGACTTCCTACATGGAGGATCATAGGCAGTCCCTCTTTCCTCCTCTGTCACTCTAAGGAATAGGAGGAAAAAGTATTAGGTGAGAATTAGACTCAGCTAAATGCTTAATCTATATTCTGTAAATATTTAAAGATTCAGTGGAAACTGTTGGGGAAGAGGAGTAGGTCACAAAAATGCTAGAATCAGAGGCTTTACTCACTTGCACCTAACTTTCAGATAAAGGTCCTTGGCAACATCTTTCTTTCATCTGCATCCTCATAACATTGCCTTCATCTTGTCCCAGCCCTTGAGTGAGATGTTTAAACCACCAACTGGACTAGCATTAAAGCAATGGTTCCCCTTTAAGCTGGCAGCATCCAACAACAGCTGCCAGACATGTAAAATCACCTCCAATTGTATCAGAGGAAAAATCTGGTAAGCATTAGTGAGAAGGAGCAGAGCAGCACTCATTAGCCATTTCAGGTTGAAGCAGGCGTGTCCCTCTTCTCCAATCCCTGATCAGTGGTATCTGCCACTGTTCCGCTGTTGTCTCCCTAAAGAATTCAACATGGTAGCACTGTGTCAGAGGTCTAACAGAACTACATAATAATGCTACACTGCTCAGCTGCCAATGCTGCAAGTGTTTTAACTTTAACACTTACAGTACTTGTTTAGCACAAAGCTGAAAACTGGGACACAGTAGAATGATAGGACCAATCTCCTTAACTGGCTTCCAAAACAGAACACAGAGGAATGGAGAAGTTGGGACTCATTATCTACATAAATAAAGGGATGGAAAGGGAGAAAGATCCTAAGTAGAAGTCCTGCTTATGACTCAGCTCCCTACATGGCTCCAATTCATTTTTTTAACCCTTTGTTATGAGTCATGATAAAATGGGGTGCAGGAGAAGGGGCACAGAAGCCTAAAGATGACAGTCCTGCATCTACCTGACCCCTATTCCTGCTTTGGCACTGTGACTGGCACAGTTTTTTTCCACTGCCAGTGAAATGTACAAGAGGGAAAGAAAAGCTGAAAGATTTCACCAGCCATTTTATTTATCATGCATTGCACTAACAGAGATCAGGATGACATTGCTCAGCAGTGAATCAGAATATAATAACTTTATTAATTCCTTGGGGGCTTCTTAGAGCCAGCACTGTCATCAATGGGTTCTACTGCATTTCAATTAAAAAAAAATGCTAGGAAATAATATTGTTATTACAGTAACTCCAATTTGTAATACAAGACATACACTTTTCCTACCCTCAAGAGTTTCAAATGATTTTGTTCTCATTTTTCAAAATTATTGCCTCAATTTTCTTTTCTATTGGCCATTCCATGTTAGGTGGCAAACACCAACTTTAAATATCAGGCCCTTGAAAATATTAATACCATGCTGAAGATAATGATGTCTTTGTAGAAGAAACTCAGTTCAACTCAATGAAAGTAAACTATATCCTTAAACAATATAAGTAACCTTATATTAGAATGGAAGGCTGGTTAACCAAAATGACATAAAATTACATTAGTGTGATAAGTATTAGAGTTTAGAAGACATTTCAAATTAAATATCATCCATTTATATGTAGTAATATAGCATTGGCACTAGCATGAATGACTTATTTGGAAACCAGGAATAATTAAAATGTAGTACAGAAGTCAAGGAAACACACACAAATGGAAAATGTTTTACAGAAAACCAACAACATTAACATGATTATGAAGTATTTCTCCAACTCTACGTTCAAAGCTTTTGACCTGTAAGATTTTTTAAAGCCCTTATAACCTCTTTATTTCTGAGTGTGTAGATCAACGGGTTTAACATGGGAGTAAGTACTCCATAGAACAGAGAAACGATTTTGTCCATCTCTTGCACACTTTTAGTTTGAGGTCGAAGATATGAGAATATAGCTGTGCTATAGAAAATTGTTACTACCATCAAATGTGATACACATGTAGAGAAAGCTTTTAATCTTCCACCTGCAGAGTGAACTCTCAGAATTGCTGCAACAATCTGCAAATAGGAGAAAAGAATAAAGGCAAAGGGGCCAAGGAAGGTGAGAACGCCAGTGGTGAACATAGTTACCTGATTCAAGGAAGTATCTGAGCATATAAGTTTGAAAATGGCTTTGAGTTCACAGGCAAAATGATCAATCACATTATCCCCACAAAAGTGAGCTGGCATTACATAAATGGGGATGACCCCTAAAACTAAGCCAGCAACCCATGTCCCAACTGCTAACTGAATACACAATTTCTTGCTCATGATTATCATATAATGAAGAGGAGCAGAAATTGCTATATATCGGTCATAAGCCATAACAGCTAAGACGAAACCTTCAGTTATACCTAACCAGACACCACTACTCATTTGAAGATAACACATTGAAAAAGTCATGGTAGGTTTGTCCACTAGAAGGTTTGCAATGACCTGTGGGACTGAAGATGTTGAATAGCTTATGTCAAGGAAGGACAAATTGCTGAGGAAAAAGTACATGGGTTTATGGAGATGATAATCCATTGTGATCACCAAGATGATAAGGCCATTTCCCACCACTGTTACAGAGTACACAATTACCATGAAAACCATTAAGCCCAGCCTTGACTTTGGTCGACCAGAAAAGCCAATAAGGATAAATTCAGTCAATGCAGTCTTATTTGCCTTCTCCATATTCTCTGTTCCTATTATCTGTAAAGAAATACAAAATGTAACCAAGCACTGAAAATGTATGAAGTGAGGAGGACATTTTTCCATTTAGGAAAGAAAGACTGAAAAGGTCCTGTACAGGAAGAAGAATTAAATGAAAACGGTAATACTATATAACTGAAGAAATATATTTTCTCCCTCACTAACAGAAAATCCAAGAGTTTCTTATTTTTTTTAAAAGAATTATATCCTCATTTTTAATTGAATTAAATATATATATATATATATTGCAAAAATGTGCTAATGTAACAAAAAACCTAAATGTTAGAATTTTTGTACCTTTGTTCTTATTTATTTAGAGGCCACCTGACTCCAAAAAACTCTGAGCAGCTTACATATTAAATGTCATGAACATTAAAAGACAAAGAAAAAAATCATGAATGTTATTCATTCAGTTTTTCCTGTGAAGCAGTACAACAAACTGCTCTAAATCCTTTTTTTTTTTTAATGGTTCTGCTATCCACATCTTTAGCAGTGACTTCTTGATCTCCACATTTGGCCACCTTGTGGGGTGTTGCTGTTGTGGTGGTGTATAGCTATGTGTATAGCTATGAGATGCTCAAAATGCAGAAGGGGTTCTTCAGCTTCCCATCTCTCTCCATTTACTTTCACATGAATTAGAGTTAATTTGTTCATGTACAACAACTTGGGAAATTATGAATTGACATAATTACAAGATAACAGCTAGCAATGGTTTTACAGCCTTAGCGAGATGGATGGATGGATGGATGGATGGATGGATGGATGGATGGATGGATGGACGGACAGACAGACAGACAGACAGACAGACAGACACCTGTATTTTATTCCCTTATGTTATATATTCATTTTGAATGGTAACTGATCATGCAACATAGATTTCTGTTTCCAGAATTATTTCCAGAGTCCTAAAATATTGTGAAAATACCATAAAGTCAGAGAAGTAATGAAATATATGGACCATTATGAAACACTAAAAAGCAATAGTTCAGCTATAGTATAAAGAAAAATCAACTGTTTATAACTTCACATACTAAAAGTAGTGGTTGATAAAAACCTGGGAAAACAAGATTGGCTTGGACAGATGCTTAAATGAGGTGGCCAAGAAGGTATTTTAAAGCAAAGAATCATTTCACAAAAGGATTTTAAATTCTTTCCAAGCATTATCTATAACAATGAGAAGCAGAGTTGTGCTGCTTGATGTGGATATTCCAGTTCCATTTAGGTAAGCTCTTTAAACAGCCATGGATTAAGGAACTAATCCCTGCTCCACTTGTCATGGTACAAACCAAATTCTCTCTACTTATCAGTAGAGATAATCTTATCAGATTGATTTATTGATTATGTGCCATCAAGTCATTTTTTTATTCCTAGCAACCACTTAGATTTTCTCCATGACCATCGTCAATCATTTTATATTTTCTATCCATGTGGCTTTCTGGGTAAAAATGCAGGAGTGGTTTACCTTTGCCTTCTCCTGCATGGTATGAATTGATGCTCTTGGGATTATCATTAAAGTGATAATCTGCCTCTGGTATCTTCCTATATCACTGCTGCCCAATAAACTAAACCCAACTGCTTTAGCTGGGCAGGTGGGATGACCTTCATATCTTGGGTGACCTTGCTGGGAATAGATTCTCTGGGAATACAGTTCTGACATTCTTCACTCATACCTTCCAGGAACATCCCTCTGCCATGATGGGTGGGGGGTACTTATACAAAGTCTTGGATTATTATAAGACACAAAAAAAGAATCACAACCACAATACCCATCACATATTTCTTTTTTTAAAAAATGAGTATATTCTTGAGATGGCATTTATGCCATCACTACCTTCCCTCCCTCCCTTTCTTCTTGATTTACAGACATGGATTTCATAATAACACATCTAAAGCATAGCATTCTAATTTCTATTTGAGAATTTAAGGTTATCATCCTAAATCAATAAATATTATATGTTCTTTTGGATTAATATACTGTAGTTGGCAAAAGATAAAAGATAATGTAATAAATAAGTCTTCTCTTTCTACATACAGAAATATATCCAGACAACTACAGTACCAAAAATTACCTTTAGGACTTCTTAGATGTCCTTTGTCAGTTTCTCTTCTTAAATCAAGAAACAGCATTCTTTAAATTATATTCAAATTGTATCAGTCTTGAATATGTGGAAGAACAATAAATAATCCTATTTGAATCAACTTTTGCCTTTGTCTTTAATTAGAATTTTTAGAAATACAATTAAATAAGGACCTATAATACATAATAAGATCCCTCTCACTCTTTCATTTGTCACCATGTAATATGATGGCATAATTATTGGTAATTTTAGATATATTTTTACATCTATCAGGGCCTGTTTGAGTGAATACTCAATAATCAATCAATCAACTAAAAATTTAATAATTTGTAATTGGTTATTTTTCTTAACCCAACTTCGAGAAGGGCAGAGCAGAAAGCAAGGGCTGACCTTTTTATTATGAATCCAGGAAAGAGAAGGAACAGAGCAATAGGTCTGTTTTCTTCTTAACTCTTTCATATTTTCAATATGTTCCTTCTTTCTTGACAATCCCATTTGTGCATGATCCCAGGAGGATCCTCAAATCAGCACTTTTAATAATGTGCTTAAGATATTCAGCACAGAAGCTAACATTGTAAACTGAAAAAAGAAAGAATAAAATCATTATATTTCTATTAGCATAAACATGGAAAAGTGAAAGCGTAATGCACATTATGCTTTCATGCTATGTCCCCAAACTCCATTTATTATTTTTATAAGGTTTCACATGAAGGTCTTTACAGTTCATAACATGGAGGGCTTCTTAGGACTGTGTATATTTATTCATTTATTTTTATTTATTGAATGCACAAAGATTAAAAGCACAGATAAAATATCAATTAATAAACTAAGTGAGAAACATGTTGGACAGACTGAGATAATTGCAAATAGTTATTGACCTAGGCTCAACATAGCTAATCAAACCACACACGCCTAACCATGATTCAGACCTTCTGATGTCCAACACAGCTGAGCAGAATTTAACAATTTTTGTGGAAATATCAATAGACTGATCAAGTACCAGAAAGTCCACAATCTCTATTTCCAGTCAACCGCTTATTTCAAGTAAAGAGCTGACATACGTAGCTTTCTCTGTTCCATTTATTAACAGGGAGAAGCTGTTATAGGACAAATCAAAGATTCTGCCTCTTTTCCAATACAAAATTAAAAAAAAAAAAAAAAAAAAAATTTAGACTAGCCAGAATTCATCCCAGAAATGTATTTCAGCCAGTATTTCAACAGTCAAATTCTTATGTGGGGCCCCACATAAGCACAACCTAATTTTAACCAGAGTAAGTTTGATACAGAACAAAGAATGCGAAACATAGTTCTAAATTTTAACTGGATTGTTTCTAAGGCTGCTTTAACTTTGTAGGCACAACATTATTTATCTACAGCTGAAGGCTTAACACCATGGCTCTAAATAATTGAACTTCTGTAGAGACAAGGTTATTCCTGTTATAACTACTTAATCTATTTATGCCACTGGAGGCCTTTTGGTCACATATTGTAATTTCTTGAGTTTGTTGTATTCAGGGGGAAATTTTTGAAACCACATTCCTAAATTTTAATCTATTCAATTTTGGATACTCTGATTTTCCGATCATAGCGGAAGTTGATACCCCTTTTGGGGAATGAGACTACCTTTGTTTAAAGTAATTAATTTCTACTTTTTCACTATGGCAGTTTTATCTTTATGATCTGTTTCCAACAAATATAAACCAACCAGATTTTCTCTTCCAGCTAGACTCTATCTATGTAACTGTGTTTTCAGATAACTTCTTTCACAATGCCAAATAGACATATATGAAGGGAGATAAAGTGTGGTAACCAGAGAAGAACTTTCTATAGCTAGAGCATACACGGACATTGCATTTTCAGGTGGGAAATAATATCGGAATCCCATTTCTCTAGTGTTTCAATACCCAGAATTCTGTCCCTTAAGTAAGGCAGGACCTCCCACACTCACGCCTGATTACCATCCCATTGATTAAGACACCTGACTGATAATCCTAAAAGTTCACATACTTTTGCCACACAAAAATGTGTAGCTTTGGATCATTTTCATCAATAAATCAATGAACAAGTATAACGTTTTGACTCATTGGTTTAACTGGGTTCTCTTTATCTAGTTTTTGGACTTGTGCAGAGAACATTTTCCTAAACTGGTTCATGTGTTCACAAACTTGCAAGTAATTGCCTTACAAAGAATTTGCCCTGGAAAATAGACAGAAACATGGTACGTTCTAGATAAACTAGATAAAGAGAACCCAGTTAAACCAATGAGTCAAAACGTTATACTTGTTCATTGATTTATTGATGAAAATGATCCAAAGCTACACATTTTTGTGTGGCAAAAGTATGTGAACTTTTAGGATTATCAGTCAGGTGTCTTAATCAATGGGATGGTAATCAGGTGTGAGTGTGGGAGGTCCTGCCTTACTTAAGGGACAGCATTCCTGTTGTTCATCCCTGTTGCAGATGGATGACCTTTAACAGAACCAGTCAATGTCCTTTTACAGTATCTTATCTCCTTGAAAGATATTGGTGATTGTTTTTAATTGATTAAATGATAGGAAACCTGGAAAACTTACCTCTGGAAGAGAAGTTTGAATCTTAGATTGTATGTAACTAAATGTAATGTAGTTACTAATGTAACTAAAGAGTGTGAAGTTTATGAAATGAAGTAGAAGGCAAATGAACTTCACACATCTCTAATATTGTTTTATAATGTGCCTTCATTCAGTTATCAAAAACTTGTGATAACAAATATACAACAGCAATATAAGGAAATTTCTAAGAGGTATATCAAAATTAGAAAGAAAACAGACAGCTGAAAGAGCTATCTCAATGTTCAATATTGTATGTCAGGCTTGTTCTTGACTAGAATTCTTGCTAGTGCCCCCAGAACCTCTCGATTTCGGA